TTTTCCCCCTCCCCTCCCCCATATCCCATTTCCTATTTCCTCTTTGCTTTTAATAAAAAAAAAAAAATTTATTAAATTGATTTTCTCATTTGGAAATGAACGTTGCCAAAAAAAAATTATTTCGTATTATTCCCCCCCCCTTCTCTCCCTACCACTCCTTCTCCTACCTTCCCCCTCGTAAATGTGCGTGGCGAGTGTGGATCGATGTTTCCTGTACAAAATAATAAAAAAAAAAAAAATTGTACGTTTTTTACTCACCTTGTACAACCAATTTAACAATGGCTTCCGGTTTGGGTCGATTATTAACCAAACAACTATATTCCCCGCTGTCTTCTGCTGTTACCGGATGAAAATGTAACGCGAAATTATCCGATAAAAGATTAATACGATGTCGGTGTTCCCAAACGGTTGTTGTTTCGCTCATGTATTCAACTAATTTCGTATGTGAAGCCCATTGAAGGGTCGTGATAAGAGATCTTTCGGTTACGCCCGGACACGGAAGTGTGACGTTGCTGTGAGCTTCTGATGTAATCATAAGCACTGGAATTCCAGTCGTATCTGTAATCGAAAAAAAAAATATATATATATAAAAAATAAATTGTCGTTTCGTTTCGTTTTTTTTTTTAAGCGGCGGACAAACAAACAAACAAACAAAAACCGACGTTAAAAAAAAAAAAAAAAAAAAAAAGAGTATTATCATTATTATTATTATTATTTATTTTTAAACTTATTTCCCTCACCGCCTCCCACCTCCCTCGTGAATCTCTTCACACAATTTTCACCCTAATGCGGTATCAATACTGCTTTAGGGGTTGTGTTCAACCCCAATGTCAACATCAGCATACAAATTATTTTGGTTTTAACACGTCCGTCGTTACGAGGAAGGGGGAGGCGGGGTGCGCGGGGAGGAGCGAGCGGGGGGACGAGTGGGTGGGTTGTTGGGGAGGAGGAAAAGCAAAATCGGTAGGATTTTCCATGAAAGGAAAAGCCTTTTTAAATTTTCCATATGTATAAATATATATATATATATATATATATATATATAAATGTATAAAAGGGCAAAAAGGGTTAAAATTTATTGTAAGCTTTTAATGACAGTAATGCGAAATGGAGAAAAACACTGGAGAAAATTTTTTTCCTTTTTTTCCTTTTTTCCTTTTTTCTTTTTTTTTTTTTAATCGGTGTGTTTAACAAACAAAGTTTTAATTTTTTCCGTGATAAGAATTTTTCCTTTTGTTTTCCTTTGAGTTGTTTTTAAAGTCAACAACAACTCAAAAAAAAAAAAAATTTTAGAATTAAAACGTGTTTTCTATCGGTTTTTCTTTTTTTTTATTTACACGTTTCCGCCATTTTTTCCCCCTTCCTTTTAATGTAAAACTATTAATAACAATTTCAATCAAAGGTAAAAAAAAAAAAAAAAAGAATAATTAAATTTAAATTTTTTTTCCTTTTTTTTTTTTTTTTTATTAAAATATGATTAATTACGTAAAAAAATTTAAGTTTATTTAAAAAAATTAAGAAAGATTGATTACGAAAAAAAAAAAAAAATATGGATCGACGTCCTGTCGTCGCGTTTTTTTTTTAATTTTTAATTTTTCCTTAACGGCAACAGCAACAGCAACAGCAAAAAATAAAATAAAATGAATGTAAATTAAAAAAAAAAAAGAGAAAAAAAATACTCGAGGAAAAAATCGTTTAATTTACTTCTCGTATTGAATTTCCTAACCCTAATTGGGGTTATTATACACGCCTAGCAATTACTTTTTTTTCTCGTTTTTTTTTAAATTTATTTTTTTATTATTTAAATAATTTTTTACGCGTAGGAATACACACAAAAAAAAATCATAAAAGAGAGAGAGAGAGATATAAAATACAGGATGAAAAAGAAAGAAAGAAAATATTAGAAAGAAAGATCGAAATTAAACGAGGGAGCGCGAGGAGAGATAGGTTGTTAGGGTTTCGTATGAAAAGGGAAAAGAAAGATAGGAAGGAAGGAAGGAAAGGATGAAAGGGTTGAATAAGAAAATTCTGGATAAAACTAAGGCGGTCTGGAGAAAAAAGGAAAATTATGAAAATTAATTATGACGCATTATGCAGGAGGAGTCGAAATAAAAGCAAAAAAAAAAAAAAAACCCTTTTTAGTTAAATTTTGTTTTTTTTTTCTTTTTTTGCGTAAAATATTTTTAGGCGGAATCTTTTACGTTATTATTATTATTATTATTATTATTATTATTATTATTATTATTATTAATATAAAATGTACCTACTTAAACCTACTTTATTTTTATAATTTAATTTTTTAACTTTTTCAAGAGAGAGAGAGAGAGAAAAATGGAAGAGTGGAAAAAGGATCGTGTAAACTATATTATTAAATTTTCACATAAGGTAAACATTAACCACGTTTCAAACTTAAAAAAAAAAAAAATTTGAGTCAATTTCGGAATGAAAAAAATATTTAAAGAATGAATGAATGAATGAATGAAACAAAAAAAACATGTCGTTTATTAATAGATGACCGATAACAAATTGATGAAACCTGATTGATTAATATTTGATTACGTTTCGAATACACGAAACGAGGGAAAAAAAAGCAAAAAAAAAAATTTCCCGGGATTTTCCGATGGAAGAAAAAATAAAAAAAAAAGATAAAATGAAAAATCATCGGGAAAAAAAAATTTAACGAGAGGAAAAAAGAGAAGGGAGGACAGAGAGAAAGGTGAGGAGTGAAGGGGGGGGTAAAGAACCCATTACTTCGGTTTTAAATATATCGTCGTAAAATAATAATAATAATAATAATAATAATAAAAACTATCTTGTAACCGTACAAAATGTCTGCCAATTACACTTTTAATTAAAAAGTTTGATTAAAACCAAAAAAAAAAAAAAAAAATGTATCCATATCGTTCGTTTTTTTTTTTTTTCAAAGGAATTTTTTTTTTACCTTTTTTTCTATTCCTTTTTTTTATTCCTTTTATTTTATTCCTTTTTTAATATTTGTATTTTTAAATTTTTCATTTTTCTTTACAATTTACATCATTTTCCCTTTTAGCCTCTCACTCTCTCTACATTCATCTCTCTTCTTTTTTTTTCTTTCTTTCCCTCCATTCCTATTTCTACCTCTTTCTCTATTGCCCCTTGCCTCTCTACCTCTCTATCTGTACCACTATTTTGTTATATTTCTATTCCCCTCTCTCTTAATAATTTAAATAAACATATCATCCGATTTGGTGATGATGTGTAGGCCACGGCCATTTTTTTAAAACAAAAATCCACCCTAAGATAATGAAATCATGCTTTTTTTTTACCATAAAGATTTGCTTGAACGATGATAATGATGATGATGATAATGATGAAGATGATAATGATGATGATGATGATACACGCATTAAATTTATATTCTATTTATTACGTTTTAAATCTTTTTTTTTTTTTTTTTTTTATTAAAAGAAAATTATTATTATTTTTTTTTTAATTAAAGATGGATGGACGGATGGATGGATGGATGATGACGATGACGACGATGATAATGATGATGATGATAATGATGATGATGATGATGTCCTTTTGATAATTTTAAAAACTTTTTAAACTAAAATCTAACTCCCATCACACGGAGAATGTTATTAAATATTTGTTAAAATTTTATTTTTTTAACCTTTTGATGTTTTACTGGAATAGTTAATTTTTTCCCTTTTTTCCACCACCTCTCCCTCTCTCTCTGTTTTTCCCTCCCTTCCTTCCCTCCCTTCCTTTTCTCCCTCCCTTCCTCCCTCACTTCAATTAATCAAATTATAAACATGAATCCGACGACAAGCCTTTTAAATATATGACTGACGTAAAAAAAAAATAGAGAAAAAAGTAAAAGTATGAGAGAGAGAGAGAGAGATAGAAAAAGATATCGTGGGGGAGGGGAGGGGTGTGGTGAAAAATGTCGGAGAAAAGTAAAAGAGAAAAGTTTCGACGAAAGAAAAAGATTATCGAGAAAATATGTGTAAACCTATATTATTGATTTATTAATTGATTTCGTTATTATTATTATTATTTTTATTATTATTATTATTATTATTATTATTATTATTATTATTAATAAAAGTAATAATTTTCATTTAAAACTCGGAAAAGTTTTAATAATAATTTTTTTTTAAGGGAAGTTAATTAAAAAAACGTTCGTTTTTTTTCAAAGGAAGGAAGTGAGGGAAATTTTATAGCAGAAGAAAAATATAACGCGTAGGCGAGGAGGGGAGGGGAGAAGAGCGCGTCGTACAAAAAAAATTACTTTAAATAATCATCATCATCATCATTATTATTTTTTTTTTTTTTTGATTTTTCCGTTAAATATAACCGGAAAAAAAAAAAAAATTTTTAAATGTTATTCGGATAATTTTAAATTTTTTTTTCTCTCCCTCTTTTTTACTTTCTCCCTCTCTCTCTCTCACTCTTTTGTTACTTTATGAAAAAAAAAAAAAAAAGAAAGAATTTTTTTATCTTATTTAAAAGGTTTTTTTTTTTTTTTCTTTCTTCCTTCCTTAAGGCGACCAATTTTGATTGTTCAGAATAATTTCTCGGCGCAAGGCAATTCGCTACGTAAAAAAAAAAGATTTCCCAAAGGAAATTTTTTTTTTCTTTCCTTTCTTACCAAATTCGAGTTTTCCGTTCGATAGAGAAAAAGAAAAAAAAACTTCCGTTTGTCTGTCTGTGAAAAGAAGAGAGAGAGAGATAGAAAAAAAAAAATTCTTTTACGTTTTTCTAATTTTTTTACTTGAAATGTGCGAAATTCAACATTTAAAAAAAAAAAAAATTGTGAAAAACTTTTAAAGTTTTTTTTTTTTTGTTTTCTTTTTTTACAAACGTCAAAAACATAAAACGCGCGCGTTAAGGTACGCGCGTGCGTACCTTTATTTTATTTTCAATTATCATTATTTTTTAAATCGCGAAAATTTCTACCACACAAAAAATAAAAAATAAAATAAAATAAAAGGAAAAATCAAATTATAATTATTTTTTTTTTTTTTTGTTATTGTAATTTAAATTTGTTCTTGAAGACATTTCGACCTTAGGGAATATAAACAAACCTTTTATTTACGCTTTAATTAACGTTTAAATTGTTGTTGTTGTTTGTTTTTAATATAAATGAAGATTTATTAATTCTTTTTTTTTTTTTTTTGAATTTGCCTGATTGTCGACGTGAGGAAAATTTTTTTTTTTTGGCATTTCGAATCATTTCCGGTTCGCGGGATTTTTCTAAACCGGGTGTGTCATTTAAAAAAAAAATAATAATTTTATTATTAACATTATAGAAATTTTATTTTCACGTGGGTTTTTCTTTTGTTTTGGGGAGGAAGAGAGGGAGGGAGGAAGGGTTTTAGTGGGAGGAAGGAGAAAAAGGCGGAGATTGAGAAAAAAGAAAAACTGTCACTTAAAATAAAATGATATTTTTCAAATTTGTCAAAGTTTAATCCTCTTAAAGTGAAAAATTGCCGGAAAACTCAAAAAAAAAAAAAAAATTTCCGCGGCAAGATGTGATTTTCCCAGGTCTTCGTCGTCATCGTAACAATAATAATAATAATAATAATAATAATAATAATAATAATAATAATAATAATAATAATAATAATTTAAACACACCATTAGGAAAAAATTTCGAAAATAAATTTATTTCCCATCACTTTCTCTCTCTCTCTTTCTTTTTTTTTTCGCATT